CATGCCGAGAGATATGTGCGCTAATGGCTTGTTCTTGTCGCCCTTGCCTTTGCTTGCTGTGCTTTTCTGTGAAGTCTGAGACATTTTTTTCCTTAATTCCGCTATTTTTTCTGCCCACCAATAGGCCGTGCCGCCAATGTTTTCCGTTTCCTTTCTCTTTAATTGGCATAGAGGTGACGCATGCTTTGGTGATTAGGTTCATGGTTTGCCTGGGTCTCTGTGTGTCTCTCTGTCCGGCGATCCTATTGGCTGTTTACGGATAGACTCCAGACCGCTCTGGATCCCACTCTGAAGCTTTCCTTTGTCCATTTTCGCGGCGTTCTATTGTTTGTACTGTTTATTGTTTGTACTGTTTGGTGGGGGTGAGCTTCGTATATCTCTCGTCTTTCCTTCTCAGATATTTGGTATAATAAGTATTAGTGGTCACTACCGGTGTAATACTTGATGACTTGCCGGCCTTGTTCCTTAGCCTCTAATTACTCCATGTGTATGATCTCTGGAATAGAGTTTCCGGTCGTTATGGAGCACTTGTTTGTGACTAACAAACCCAGTCGTTTCAAAAATTAACATTCCTTGTGTCTGTTCGAGGCATGACCCATTCTAGTGCCCTCGCGTTTGAGTCCCCGGCCACTACGATATCAGTTTGAATACCTGTTTAGACAGTCTTCGAGTTTCTCAAGTTTCTGCAGGAATTTCTCGATAATGTCATTTGGGGAGAGATAGCAGCTTACGTATGGTTTTTTATCCCCGTCCATGCATGGTGTGGTCCTACTCCTTGGCGATCCACAGGGGTCCGACTAGTGTCGAGAATCCATATGGCTTGAGGCATCAGAGAACTATGCTGTAGAGTTTTTATCGCTGTACGACTCACAAATCAACAAGATGTCGACTTTCAGCTCGTTAATTAGCTTCTCGAGAAGGTTCGAAGCAATTCTACAACGATTTAAATTTCGCTTGTTCCACTTGTTCCAGATATGTCGTCTGTCTGTCTTGCGTGGGTTCGGTTCGCGTATAGTACGCACGACGGACTATTTTGGCATCCGGTACGTTTGCACCATGTTTTACCACATCTCCAGCAAAGGTCGCTCCTGTCCGCTCCTTTCAAGTTGTTTTTTCTTGTGCCCATAGCAAAGGCACTCATAACAACGGGGAATAGCGATTCTTCTGTCTACTCAACAGTTGACCCAGCCTATCTTAATGCGCTGTTTGTGCAGAAGGTTGATGGCTATCGGTTCCTCCATCTCCACAAATGCCTGCCTTTGCTAGCGCTTGTTATGCTGCAATACTGCTACCTTCACGTCGTTCGGGTCATCATTCGTTTGTCTTCGTATTGCTAACCTTAGCTCTTCCTCTGTGGAAGAGGAATAACCAACCTATTCCCCAAAGACAACACAGCTTATCCAACAAAAAAACACTCCATAGCGTGTCTCTCAACACTACAAGATTCTCACGGCCAAAATAAGCGGGAGAATATTCCAATATGTAAAAATCAACAAAATGCTGGACGAAGAACAAAAGGAAATTTTGAGGGATGATGAGGATGCAATGAAGAAATAATACTGTATTCCATCATTACCAACACTGAGAAACAGAAAAAAGGAGTTTAAATAATAAACATATAGCCTAACAAGATGTTTTTGAGAATGTTTCACATACCTCGCTGAGTAAAGTGTTATAAATCTTGGGGGTTTAGAATCATATCTATTTTATACAGACGAACCGACAGATAGACGGACAGACAGACGTTTTGCCGTCATTCAATTTTTGGGTATGAAGGACCCATAAAACATGGATTCTGACTACACTTCGTGTTAGAAGAATTTTTTCTAAATGTAGCAACTGGATTTATCCACGTTTTCGATACCAGGGCCCTGTAATAGTTTTCTGCCAAAAATCCGCTGTTTTGTAGCTCAGCACATAACTCTCTCTCTCTCTACTCCGTAACCAAAAAAGTAAAAATTGAAGAAAAACTTTGGAGTGGTTTTTGGCAAAAAGTGTTTTATTTACATTGAATTCCAACAGAAATGATACAAAAAAATTGTTTAAAAAATTTGCACGACTTTTTTCAAAGTTGTGACTTTTTAGAACACATCTTATTTAAAACAAAAATCTTAATATTCGATTTTGTTCATTGCAATGTTAACTTGTTGATATTGGAGTTCACCAAAAGGTCACTAGCACCCTTTTTTATACCTTCGTTTGATACATATGGGGAGAAAATTTTAAGAATGCCATTTAAAAAAAAATGTATAAAATTACTTATATTTCACGCAAAAGTACGCAGAAACTAATCATATTTTGAAAAATTGTGCATGGTCTTATTTCAAGATCTATATTTAAAGAATCGAATTTAAATCGAACTTTTGCAATTTTCGAAAAATTAAGAACTTCAACTAAAATGAGACTTTCACCATTCCAGCCGATCATTTGTGTGTGTGTGGGGGGGGAGGGAGGCATCATAGATTTTTGTTAAATTATAAACATATTTGTTTTTATATTGCATATTATTTTTGTAATGTATATATCATGCTATACAATATTATTTTTAAAATAATTACATAATTCGAGCATAAATATTTAAATCAATTTTGCCAAACAAAGGAAGTAGCAAACGAAAGCTCTAGGCATTTTGTGGAGACCATGGCCCCCATGCCCCCCCCCCCCTGGATCCGCCACTGTACCGCCAACTGCAGAATGCGTGGCCAAAAGGAGGAAAGGATCGATCACATAGTTTCTGAAAGCACAGTTTTATCACCAAAACAATATCTGGATAGACATAATTGGACGGCTAATATAATTCATCAGGGTTTCAGGCAAAAATATTTTGGTGATAAGTGGGATTCATCTCAATCTTATGAACCATTACCAAAAAGAGACGACAATAATAGCAAACTTTATTAGAAACACTTACATCAATATTAACTGATAAATCAATCCCAAACAACATTCCTAAGATATTGTGTTCGTTTTGGAGATAGGAAAAAAAATGTATATCATCTATAATGCAGTCCCTCTGCCAGAAAATCTGAAGAAAACACGCATGACAATAATTAAAAAATACCTTCCATTGACCGATGAGACCAAATATTTTTGGGGTTTTAAAAAAGTCAAAATTATTTATTAGGGACGGATTTTGATGAATTAAAAAATTGCCAAATATTACCAATAAAATGCTCTTAAAATTCTTTACAAATATCCTAAAAAAAGACGTTAATAAACTTGATCAAAATCACTTCAGATGAACAATTCAAGCTGTTGGGTATGTTACTGATGTAATCGAGGTTTGTTATTTTGGTTCAAGTGAACTCAGCCTGCAAACGTTTGGTTTGGACTGTTATTTAAAAGAAAATTCTGCCTTTATTTATCGCGAAATCGGACGAACTGACAATGGCGCCGATAGGCGTCACAAGAACCTTAGATTATGTAGTACTCACAACGGCTGACATTACAATACACAAGCAAAGAAATCGAATAGGCTACTTAGGAATTCTATGGTGAACATTTATGCACCTGGTAAATATTGTTTGAAGCAAGTACCATTAAAATGATATTAAAATTTATGAAATCAGCCAAGAGTGCATTACAAAATGTCGTAAAAAGGTAAAAAATGACTAATTAGTCGACATCGTCGAAAAATGAAAACAAATAAATTTAAATAAGAAATAACGACATATAAAAATAGGTGGTGAAAAGTGAAAAGATAAAAGATGACATTTCATTAATTTACAGGTTGTTATTTGAGCGGCAGGAAAAATCCCCAACAAATTTAACAGCAATGTTGCCACATTACATTTGGAACATGACTAGATGTGAATGAAAAGTAGACATGAAAAGACACGATGAGTGTGTAGTTACCTCCACTGGCAGATCTCTAACGTCCTGAAAGTTCCAAACACATGCTCCAAATGGTACGAACACTCATCAAAACCGGTGACGTCTGTTGGACTGTATACAATATTGTACGGCCAACAAATTCAAACTGGTCGCTCGATAGCAGCAAACAAACTCGATATTGTTATCCGGGATTTAGAGAAAATGTGTCTTTTAGTAGATATTGCTGTGCCGTGCAATCAAAACGTCGTAGCCAAGGAGGCAAAGAAACATCTTAAATACAAGAGTGGAAATCGAGATCAGCCGAATGCGGAACGTAAAAGCACGGGTCGACCTGATAGCTATCGGAGCTCTGGAAATATGTGTTAACTTGGCTAAACTCCCAGGTCATTCAAAAGACTGGGAAGTGCAAGATATTTCTTTATTTGGAACATTCCACATCTTACGCAAAGTATTGTAGAGGTCCCGACAGTCCCTAGATCTGCTCCTTAGGAATCTAGTTGCAACCTGGAATAGATTTTATAATCAACCGACTCATAACATCTTTAGTCGTGAAGTAGAGGAAAGTAATAATAATAATAATAATAATAATAATAATAATAATAATAATAATAATAATAATAATAATACCATTTATCTGTATCTTTAGAACAAGAATTCATTGACAACAAACTTGCTAGGTTATTTTGAAATCATTTATTTGGCGTGTAATGAGCAGACTATTTAGAATATTGATTCATTAGAAATATGAGATTTGACAATTAGATTTGAATACACAGTGGAGTGAAAAATATAATATATAACATACCTGAGTTTTAGTAAGTGATAAGAGATTCAATTAATGGGTTTAGTTCGTAAGTTCTATTTTCATGATTTATTAGATACAATTTTGTTTTAAAATGTTACTTAATGAAGATTTCCTCTTTCACAGATTGAGTACCGTTGATGATTAGAATAAATATCGTGGAATGTTTATTAAACGGTTACAATCATAATATGAAGTGTGTGTGTATATATATAGATTTATTAACTTTCTTTCGATTAGGGAAGGAAAAACTTAAATCAATCCCGTTTTACCCCGGAGTCTAATATGCAATTTGAATATTCCGCTCATTTTATTAAGTTATCTCTATGCAACGTGAAATGTCGATTACGACGCTATCTGTGAACGGATGTATTAACCGCCAGCAAGTAGTATAGTGTTCGGCATTGGTAAATGTTTATATTGTTGAAATTGCTGACTTGAAAAGAAGAAATAACCTCTTTTTCTGAGTTATTGGTGTATTTTTCTTCAGAAATAGTTCGTGTGCTCGTTTCTTTCGTCGACAAATTCAAAATGTTATATTTTTCGCCCCAGCGCGATGTGTAGGCGTTCGTGTTCGTAGAAACAATATGATGCAGTGTAACATTTAAGGTATTTCTGGTTGTTATTGAGATAAATGACAACGTTTTCTCTGTTAACTCCCAAGGTTGAATGTTTTATTATATAGCGAAATTATGTAGTGTTCATGAAACAAATCCTATTCGAGCAGGAAGTGTGTTGCAATAGTTCAATGTCGTGCTGAATGTGTTTTGGAGGTCGTTTTGCATTACTACCATTACATTATAATGTGCTGTTGAAATGCAACATTGTAAGCCTCAATTTTGCAATGTGATGACTATCTTTATAAAAACATACATATCGTGTGGTTATCCAGATTTCTAATCTGAATGTAAATGGCTGAAAACTATGACTAAGTACTTCGTTGTTAGGCATATCAAATACGTAAGTTCATGTGTTGCCATTGAAAAATTATGTTGATGAGCGTATCTTTAATAAATTCCCATTTTTATAATTCTTAAAAGTGGATTTGTTTTAAAATTACAGTTGACTGTTGTTGATGATCAAAAATAAACTTAACCTTTTACAAATTTATACTATCAAAACAACATAGCATTTTCAACAATTGTGTAAATTTTCTTGTCGTCCATATTTCAACAATGTTTTCATGGGAATTAACGAAGTGGAGAAAGCTTGGTTCTGCTATATTCTGGGATTTATTTAGTTGATTTTCTATATATTTTTTATTTTCATATTTTGACAGATTTTCACCAATCAAAATGGAAGTAGCTCAGACACAATCACCTGCCTTACCAGGCCCAAATGTGTCAGGATCACCAATTCTCTCTCCGATGAATAATGTGACGTCACCTCTTTCTCCACCTATTCAGCCATATCAAAACGGTGTTACACCTAATACTGCAAACAACATAAATGGTGTTACTAATAATGGAAGTTTTAGTACTTCAAACTCGTCTGCTCCACCACAAGTAACTGATTAATGAAGATTATATTTGCACCTGATATATTTTAATTTTGAACATGGTTGTAATTGTATTTTCATTTCTGTTTAGGCCACAAAGGCTTTGGAAGCACTACAGAAAGCTATCAAAACCATGGAGGAGAAAGGCATGCAAAATGATTCACGATATCACCAATTGCTAGTCCTACAAGCTCAGAGTCAAGCTGTGAAAACACAACCTGTTCCAGATCAGGAAGTAAACGTACGCCAATGTATTTTTTTGCTCATGACATTTGAAGTAAAGTGAAATGTTTATTGGTAACTTAAGTATGCTGTAGAATTGCTAATTCTAATATATTTAGTTTGCTGTCATCCTTAAATCACTGTTGTCTTGAGAGTCTACCAACATCTTAAAATGTCACTTTGATGGAAACATTGACATATCTTGTAGTGTAGTAGACATGAATGCTCAAAAGAACCTAAACATTTGTATTACCTTCAAAAAAAGATATTATGGACATCATTTGAACGTGGAAGGTGAATTCAAAGTTCTAAATACTATATTAATTTTAATTGTTAAAATTGCCAGAAAGGGTTTTGCAAAATTATTTTTTTGTGTATTTGGTCATATGTATTAAAAAACAATGATTTTTAAGTAATTCAATAGAAATTGATTTTTTTTGTATTTTCCTAATATCTTGTCACATACGTTTCTTATAGAAGAACATGTTGAATGGTCCGCAAATGCAGCAACTCAGGATGCAGATAATGGCATACAGAGTGCTGGCAAGAAATCAGCCACTTTCTAATCAGTTAATGCTAGCAGTACAAGGACAAACATCATCTGACACTCCTGGAAATACTTGTTCTAATGGAACCGATATAGGTTTGTACTTTAAATACATTTCGAAACCTTTACTAATTCATTGAAACAGTTCTAACAAGAATGCTTAAACAACACTTTTTAATAATTCATCCAAATTAAAAGAAAGTCTTCATATCATTTTTCAAGAACATTAATTACCAGTTACTGTATTTTGTCGGCAATTCCTGTTCAATTTCAAAGTTTTTTTTTTCTTGTATCTGATAGAGAGTTCAACAACATGTCATGGGTTTAAAGTACGTTTATGTTTATAGTTACTACTAAATCTTAATTGAAATTTAATATAGGTTTGTTTGTTTTTTCTGCAATGTTCTTTGCAGAAAATGTTACAATCGATTTCAGCAGGTACACAACAAAACCTGTTGCTAGTAGAGTATGGAAAAATTAATTAATGTTATTTTGTGCACTATTCTGTTGTTATGGCTGCACAATTGATGGAAGGTTTGTCTTATACACTCACAAGAATTTATATCTATTTTAATAGCTGCCGCTGCTGCATCAGGACCAGCGTTGCAAGTGGTTGGAGTACGCGCAGCTGGGTCTGCACCAGCAGCTGTGGCCATTATATCTGCTGGTACTCCATCAGCCGCTACCCCTGTTGCTTCTGGTAGCTCATCTGGGAGTGGAGTGGGCCAAAGACAAGTGGCACCAGGTTCAGTGCCAGCTACATTGCCCCAGCAGAAGCAGAATTTGGTTACTCCATTGATGAAACCAGCTGGACTTGATCCACTGATTATTCTTCAAGAACGTGAAAATAGGTATGGCAAATTGACAATAGCTTGAGATGCATATGAAAGGAGATATGGAATTTAATTGTTGAGTCTGTATTGTGTTGTAGGTTTTTCTTATATCTATTGCTTCCAATTTCTGTGCTAGGTAATAAGGATCATACTTCCTAATTTCTTCTTTCTTGATTTCCTTTCATATACCGCTTTCTTTGCTCACCATTTTCATCCAGAGTATTCCTGGCTTTTTTTTCTTCTTTCTTTTTTCTTTCCTGAAGGACATAATGAAATGATGATGTAGATTTTCACAGTTTCTTGATGAAAATTGAAACATGCAAGTATGCAGTATATACAAGTATATAAACACAAAAGGAATTTTGTACCTAGCGTAATGAAGCTAATTCGTTATCCAGCCATACATGTAGTCTGTTATTCAGGAGCTGTGAAATCAATTTTCAAGGCAGTTATTTATAGTAATATTAAAGTACATTGCATTTTGGGTACTAAATGAGACCTTCAAATTAAATCAAAGTATGTAAAGGAAATTTAAAATGAAAGCAATTTTGTAGGTGTGTAGTGAAAAATCTCATGAACAACATGAACCATATTTACCACAAAATGCCCAATGAATTTGAACTGCGCTGGGCATGTGGTATGATACCGTGCAAGTAGCCATTAAGCTAGATATGCTACCAGTAGTCGATGAAATTATTAATTAGTGCAAACATGTTCTTATTATTTAAATCATGAAAATAAATCTTCATTTGGAATTTCATAAAAAGCAATACATAGTTGGTCTTGTTTTCTTATTTTTTATTCAGTTATTTACACCATTCAGTAAATTTTAAGAAATGACAAATTGAAATGCCGATAATTTGGTTAAAATTGCCTGAAGTACAGCATAAATAATCAAATCCATTCTATTTGTCTTGGCATTTGAGGCATATGATTTTAATAATATATCTAATGTTTCAGTTATAGTACTTCAAATTGTACAAACAAAATAGTAGGTTTTTTTTTACTTAAAAGTACCTTGATATCGAGAACTAAGGTTTGTAATTTTTAATTGAAATTCATGTTAAAAATGTTTCAAAAGCCACAGTTTGAGAGAATTTGACCCCAAAAGATTGTAAGATTATAAATGCGTGAGTGACATTTGGAAGTTTAGTATAAATGTAGTTAATTTTCTTCCAGTGGGGATCCTCTGCATTTAGAAAAATGTACTGTAATGATGAGCATGTATTTTATAAATTATATCCCTGGAAATTCAGTGGAGACCAGGGAGTTTCTCTTTTCAATTTTCTGGAATAGCTTAGCAGTGTCAAATATAATTGGATTCTCTTGTCTTTAAAGTTTTGTTAAGGTTTCTTACTTTTCCAGGCACTTAAAATTTAATCATAGTATCCAGGTACTACATTCAGAAACTTCATTAAGGAATTTTAAAATTGGATTTCCTAATGTTGTTTATTAATTTTGCTTTAATGGAAATAGATGTTATTCCAGTACCTCATTAGTCTCTGTACACTTACTTCAAAGGTCTGTTAAATATCATCTTAATCAATCATAATTATATTGTAATTGATTATTACTACAACTACTACTACTAACTATAATAAAAAAAAAAAGATTTTAAACTAATCATTTTAATTGTGGCATATCAGAAAAATTACCCCTAAGAGGTACTTTGCATATGATCCACTATAAAGTTGTATGTAAAACTAAAAATATACAATTATTTACAATTAACGTAGAGAACTGTAACTTTCAGTGCCAATATTGTTGAAACCCACATTATTTTTATAGAAGATATATTAATAAGACCATAAATTATCATTTCTTAAGGAAGCACCTTGTATAGATGACACAAGTTCAAACTGTCTGACTGGCACAAAAATTTGAAATGAAATGTCTCCACAACAATTTTTCAAAGATGAAATGGCATGCATGTAACAACAGGAATAGGATTTTTAATTGCTATTTTTTGGGAAGAACATAATCCTTCCGATTTGTCTTAATATGCCACACATTCAGAAGACTTTTGATTAATGTACTACTGTTGAAGAAATTTACACAGAAGGACATTTCAGCTTTTCCATTAGTAAAACATTGCACTTCAAGAATACACTAATTAAAATCAGACTGAAGTAATTACAGGATCATGGAAATTGACCTAGATAATGATTCATGTGTAAAGGAAAAATTTGAGTTGAAGTTCCTGACCGTGAGATATCTGCAGTTCAGACAATCATTTCCCATCAGTATTTTTTTTATAATGTATTCCATGCTAATAATGTTCATTCTGATTATTGGAGTACTGTATAACAGTAAAATAATTGTACAAATTGTACGATATAAATGAAAGAGTGTGCCAGAATTGAGAAACTGTTTATGGACAGCTGGCTAGTTCTTTAGAGAATTCATTATAGATAAGTATATATTGCAATAATTTGAACTTTTTGTTTTCATGGAGCTAATAATGTGTGAAGAATATTTGACATGATTTCATCCTTTTATTACACTCTTAGAAACTAATACAAGTTGTGATTTCAAGATTTGGATTTCTAATTCTCATCTCACTGTTCTTTTCTTCATTTTCAATCTTTCTCTGTCTAGAGGCAGCTCCGCGCATTCAGCATTCACCAAGTTACGAACTACTGCTCGCTCAATCCTGAATAGCTGATGTACATTCTTTGATGTGTCCAAAAAACCAACACGTACTGAGTAGGGTGAGCGCCAAATGTTTGTTGTTTGGGAAACGGCAAACACTCCATCCACACTACTTGGGATTTGGCAAACAGTGGCTAGTTACTTGCCAAATACTGAATGTGTGGAGCAGTAAATTTGTGTGAAAGAGTGAATTTTATTAATATTATTTGAGAGAATTTAGCAGGTGTATTATGTATTAATAATATTTTAAAAATAATATATTTATTCTTTTGATTTATTTTTCAAATTCAGAGAAATGGTGCTTGTGGGTAAAATCATTACTTTCTCCGCTAACTGATTAATACTGCAATGTTGATGTCAGTGTTCATGTTGTGATCATTTTCTTGAATCACCTGTCAACTGTTCTATATTGAACCAGTCAAGTTTGGAGAATGTCTCAAAAGATAGTGAAATTTTAAGCAATGGTATCAAGGATGTAGCTCCACTGTAGCTAGGAGATGATAACTCTTAAAATTCTTGGAGAATGTGCTTTGATACAATAGAAATAAAATGTTTCATTCCTGTAGTAAGTTATTTTCAAGTCTTTGATGAGAAATATATTTTATATTGCTATTGAGGGCTGTGATGAAGAGCAATGCAATTGAGGGCTGTGTTTTAGATTGTAAAAATGACAGCCATTTAACTATTTGAACAACACTACATTCATAGCTGATAGGAAAAGTTAAAAACTATTAAATCACAAAAAATACAATTTGGACGGTTAATATATTTTAAACTTAATCCCTTTATGTAAAAAATATCATAATTGGGGGTAATTTTCACTTTCACATGTACTACAATGTGCAGAAAATATTTATAGTATCCAGAAAGTTGCATAAAAGTCAGAAATAATGATTTAAGATGCCAGTCTTTTGGAGAGTCTCTGCTACTACAAAATTGTCTTTTTTCCCAAATCGTTGAGCCAGTTGCTGCCTGCTAATCTGTGAACACAAGAGCCTAAATTGTACACAGGATTTTCTCCAAAATAGATAATCCATGATTGATCTCACCGAACTTTAGGCTCGGCAAATTGCGAATTTTTACAGGTACTTCACTAGCAGCCTCTAAGACATATTCAAAGTCTCCTCAACGTTGACTGAATATTTCATGTACATTTTTACATGCCAGAGAAGAGCAAAGGGCACTTATAAATATGATAAAGATCTCATTTTCATTTAAATCTAAAAAAAATTTGAAAATTACAAAATGTGAGAAAAGTGAGAAAAACATGTAACATAAAATTTAGACACAAAATAAAACAGTTATGTTTCTATCTAAAACTGGGATTAAATCGGGCACTTTTTATTATGCATTAGTCACACATGAGATAGACTACAAGCATGTTATTTTATTCACTTTCATAATTAGCAGTGTAGTATATAATCCATATTTTTTCCAAATATTTTATAGCCTGGAGAGATTAGAACCTGCTGTCTTTGTGCCAGAGACAGCTACTGTGCACATCACATTGGTTTCACTGATTCCTTGTAATAAATTTAGGGTGGTTTCTGTTGAGTTTTTGAAGAGTTCCTGTGAATGATTTTGTTAATGAATTACACCTTACTGTTATGTGTAGATTTGTACAAATAATATATTCTTTTTTATTTCACAGACTTGCTGCTCGAATTACACATAGAATTGATGAATTGGCCAGTTTACCTACCACTATGTCAGAGGACCTGAGAATGAAAGCTGAAATTGAGTTGAGAGCCCTTCGATTGTTAAATTTTCAGAGACAATTGAGAGTTGAGGTAAGATATGTCTATTTAGTAGTAGTGTTAGATATATGTATAATTGATTTTCAAATATTAATTGAACATATGTTTTTAGGTTGTAGCTTGCACAAGGCGAGATTCAATGTTGGAAACTGCATCTGTTTTGAAGAATTGCAAGCGAACAAAGCGTCAAGGTTTACGTGAAGCTCGTGCAACTGAGAAGTTGGAAAAGCAACAGAAATTAGAAGCTGAAAGGAAACGAAGACAGAAACATCAGGTATTGATGAAGTGATAATATGAAATACTATTATGGTTGTATGTTCTTTGAGGCATGTTTCTGAAGGTATTTTTCTATTACACAGGAATATTTGAATGCTGTTCTGCAACATGCTAAAGACTTGAAAGAATATCATCGAAACAATGTTGCCAAAATCCAACGTCTGAATAGGGCTGTTCTTAACCATCATGCGAATGCAGAACGTGAACAGAAGAAAGAACAGGAGAGAATTGAAAAGGAAAGAATGAGAAGACTTATGGCTGAAGATGAAGAAGGCTACAGGTATAGTCATATTTTTATCAAATGCTTCAGTGTAGAAGCAAAAGTAGTTTGTGTAGTGTTTAATGACTTCTTTTAAATTTTAATGTTGTTGCATCATTTTCTGTACCGTTTTGATCCATTAAATACTGTCTCTCTTGTTTTTTATGGCATAAGACACTGAAATGTTTGAATGGATGAGTGATGATGCACTAGTGTATGTGAATGTCCCTTATACAGAGGAATCTCCTTAGCATGTTCCCAGTTAACGTGTGTTTCCACTTAGTATGTTCTTATTTTCAATTTCCAGGTACCATTCCACCAAATTACTCGTTTGTACATGCAACGTTCCCACTTAGCTCGTTCAAAGTTTGTAGGTAACTTGCTCCGAAAGAGGCATGTGTTTTCCGGTGCACAAGTGCCATCTTCATTGTGTGTTATTCTCAGGTACTTTTGGGTACCACTTTCACTTTGATTCCAGAGCCAGAGAAATGTGTTTTGCTGTACCATCCATGCCATCTTTGTTGTGTGTTATCATTAATTTCCATGATATTGTGTTTCTTTGATGGGATAGGCTCAGAGCCAATGGGTAATGTTTGGACCCCCAAGGCCCGCAATGGGGGTGGGCCTAGGTAAAAGAGGGCCTATTTTATGAGATATTTTTATTATTTAAGGTATTATATTTGAATTTGCTATACACTTTTATAAAGGGGGCCCGGATAAAAGTTTGTTGGGTGGGCCCACACTCATTCCTCTTATGCTACTGCTCAGAGCGCTATTTTTTTGCTGGTGTGTATGTTTTTCTAAAGTACATTCGATGCTATATAGAAAAGAAAGGCAAGGCAAATTACCAATGCAGAGAAATGGAATATTATCCTAAACTGAGGTGGACAATGAAATTTTGAAGTTATGAGGAAAAAAATCAACAATTGATCAATATTTCAAACCTGTATTATTATTATTATTATTATTATTATTATTATTATTATTATTATTATTATTATTATTATTAACTTAATTGGCCACATTGGACCACTTGAGTCGTTCCACTTCACTTTTTACTGTTCATGGTCGACTGTTGAAGGTGTGTCACCTTGAGGTGAGGATAAATCCTCGAGTTACAATTCTGAATGTTATTCAGAAGGGTGATGATGAGAGATGGAGGATGATGGATGATAGGGGGTGAAAGGACGAACACAATACAACCATGCCTGAGGCGGGACTCGAACCCGCGATCTTTCGGTACAAGATCGCTACGGCACTACTGCCTTAGCGATCTCGGCCACCAGATCGGCTCAAACCTGTATAAAATATATAATTAGTTCATCCCGTGGATATTTGAGTGTTATTCACATATACTTTAGTTTTCCATATTATATGGTGGTTTTGCAGTTGGTAATGTGGAAAGCAAGTATCTTTTGATTGAGTATCTTTTGTTAGCATGTTTTCCCACTTACAACATTCATAATTTTCATTACTTTAAAAAACATACTAATGAGATTCTATTGTATTGCCAAGATATGTATCAGTACATTGTTCTGGGTGTTATCATGTAGCAGATAAAATAGCATCAGCGACGTGCAATGTTTCCAGTTTAGTTTATCTTCCTTCTCACTCTAGCAAGAGTTTATAGGCAGAGTGTCAAGTTAGCATGTGAAGTGTGCTTGCAATTTAGTATTCCTTTACTGAGAAATGGCTTTTGTGGTGTGTTTTTGTGGTCTGTGGCTAATAATAATGAGGGAGTACCAAGACAAAAATGTACAACAGATCTTTATCTCACTCTCTGTAGGAATTAGGACAATAGACAATTTTTTTTGACAGATTCTAAAAGAGTTGAGCATTGTCGAAGCTATATATTGTTCCAATATCATCACTAAGAATAATATTGTAAGAATTGGTACAAATAATGTCGAAAAGCAGATTACCATATATCTGTGTGTGAATTTACTCATGAAACTGAAGATGTAAAGTGAACCTGCCATAAATATTGAATTTCAAAGATTTTATTTTCATGGTGTACTTTCATCATGCTATAATTAAACTTGGAATATGTTCAATTTTTATCACGGAATTATGCATAAAAATAATATTTATTAAAAAGGAAGTTTTAATGTGCACTTTTCTTGCATTCTAGTTACTTAAATACAGAAACAAATCAGTCTTCTACATTTTTCAAGGGTTCAAGAGAAAGTAAACCACAAGAAAGTGTAAATAGTGGGAAATTTCTTTTGTGTATGTAATAAAATATGGAACGTTGATTCTCTAAACTTTTCAATAATATTAATCTTTAATGAAAAATCATTGGACTTCTTGAGCTTTGCACCCCTAATTCTACTGTTTTCTATTCTCTTTTTAGAAAACAAATACTCTGTTATTGAAAAGGTTATGATTGAATGAACACTAGAACTTTCTTTAATTATATCCAAAAAATCGTGTTACTGCATCTAGGAAGGAAGTGAATATAGTCGTAATTACCAAGTACATATGCTTGTGAGAGAAAGAAAAATAGCATGGAAATAATGGGGCTTCCTGTCTGGTATTCCTTCAACAAGGTACTCATTCAATAATATAACAGAAAAGTGAGAAAATTGTTCTATTTATATATAAAAGAAACTTGCCCATCATTGCAAAATCACAGAATCTCTTCATTATTAGGCGTACTAACTGGAATAATAACAAAATTGAAAGTGAAGTGCTCATTTACATGGTCACATTTTATCAATGATGCACTAAACAAAGCGTTGCTAAAATGCATGCAACCATCAACTCATTAATAATTTTTCCCTTATTTCAAAAATATAGTTTAAAGCGATTACACAAAGCGAACCACACCGGACAAAATGGTGTAATTTTGACTTTCCCTGATTACATACACTGAAGGATTTCGAGGGTTTAGTGAGAACAAACAAACATTAGATCAATAGCCACCATGTCCTTCTTTGCATTTGTAAAGTTGAGGGAATAAGAATAAAAGATGGGAAATTTTAATTTTGGAAGTGGTGAAGCATTGACAATTTTCCATTGTGAAAATAGGGGAATTGAAGGAACCTGCGAAAAATGTGTACATGATGGGGATATGTTAATTCTTGGAATGTAAAAGCAGAAGTTTACACTACATTGTTATCATGCAATCCTTCTCTAGTTAGTGGAATCACAAGAATAATAGGGATTGAAATGGTCGAAGTTAACCAACGTTTGAGAAACAAATGTGAAAGATTTCTCTGTGTTAATCTCTGACCACGACTCCAATTTGCCAAAATATTGCCCACGTGGTTGAACAGACAATAAAATGTAGTGTAAATGCCATATACTTGAATAAACACCACCCTCAAATAAGACCCGCAACCTAATTTTACTGATAGGAATCTTGAAAGAAAAAAAAATTCCTCACTTTTATTGCAAAATAAATTGTCTCATTAACACTAGGAGGACGGCGATTTCCCTTCTACCTAGTAGGACGAACCCGTCATTTTGAGGGGTATGAATTTTGGTAACGTCATCCTCAATACTATCGTTCAGATTTCGACTCCAACTTCTGTATAGTTAAAGAATGTTATTGTTGTGCTTATATTCTTACATCGATACAACAATAGATAACATTAATATTCAACACAAATAAAAAGTTTTCATTTTTATCTTGCAAAGTTTTTAGTCATCAGTAAATTTTAAATAATCAAACCCTTCATAGCAAATATTTGTTGCAGTGCATGCAGATCCTAGACTTGTTCTTACCTTTACATCTTAACTGGTAGGTCTTGCAAATATTGCTACTCTGAGTAGGCAGATGCTAGCTCTTCTGATAATTGGATGATATAATCTCGGCGAGCTATTTTCCCATCGGTCTTCTCTCTGTATAATACACATGCATTGATAGCCGCTCGATCCAGAACATTGAAACCAGTAGTTACATCCGAATTTCACAGTATCCAAGCGTACCATTTGATGAAGTATGTCAACGTCACTTTTTGTGTTGTTGTAAAATTATAGTCTCTGGAAGCTACTTAGAGCTGTTTTCATCAGTAGTTACAGTTTGATGCAATGTACTAACAATCACGTTTTTATTGACTTTTCCCTGACGGGGTGTCAAAGGTGTTAAGACAAAAACCTAATATTCATCAAAATGTCTTCGTCCTTGTGGTTGTTTTTGTAAATATCTTAGTTACGTTATAGGCTACATGGCTATTTTTCATTAAATGTGTAGAATATGATTAAATATTAAAAGCCATAAAATGCTGAATTTACATAACATATTTAGTTGAGAATTCAAGACAATAAGTAGATCACCCATCAAAATGATGGATGCTCTCCTCCTAGTGTTAATCCATAAATCCATTGCCTAGCGGTTGTCGGGTGTTGAAAGATAGAAAATGCACATTATCATGAGTTATGATGTAGCTTGAGCTGCGGGCACAACACACATCACCAAGTGCGTTTGTGTGTCATTTCGCACAAGTTACAGTGTTAATCTACGAAGTGTGTTAAGTGACTCGTGTACGCAGGCGTTGATGCAGCTGACATCGTCAGCATTAAGTAATTCATGGCAATGCTCATGAAGAGGCACCTCAACCAACACTTTCTACTAAACCAAAAAACTTAGGACATTTTCTTCCTGCTCAAAAAAAACAAAAAAAGCAAGATATTACGCATTGTTTATGTTTGCTATATTATTGTCAAAGAAGTGAATGAGTCTGTAAGTGACGGTACGCTTGAAGCCTCCTCCAACATTTAGGAGGGACAATCATAACAATTGCACATCGCCATTCATTCTCAATTTCTGTTGCTCCTGCTCTCATGTTTATTTTTTTATTATATTATTTTGTTTTGTTGTATTAGTTTCTAGAGGTGTTTTTATTCTTTTATGCATCTTTAAAAACATATGTTGGTTGGTATACAGTGGAGAATATGGTTAGGGCAGAGGACGCAAACATAGAATAATGAATAGTGATTCACAGTTGTTTTGATTGTACCTGTCAATGTTACATTGCTGGTGAAGGAGGGTTTTCGTTTGTATGCATTTCTTTGACAGTAATAATGTAACCTCAAACAAATTTCTATGATGTCTTCAATAGTGTTGTATTTCAAGAAAATATTTTCTCTTGATTGTTATGAATGAAATTTCACTCTCTTTAAAATATTTTTTCTTTTGAAATTCTAAACACTTTAAGTAAACAAGCTTTGTCTGCCATTGTAAATTTGATGCATTTTATGTTTTATTTTAAAACATGATGTCCCCAAAACTACCTCAAGACTCAGTCAGGAATGTTGATAAACAGTTCTGCGTTGCCATTCATTCATCTCTCTTCTCGTTCTAGTGCTGTTTTTCTATCTCTGTGTATTGGAGCTTACCATGATCTGCTCCCCCTCCCATAGGAATTTGTATTCACCACTCATCTCTTTTTTCATCAGTGGCCCTGGTACAAATAGTTAAGTGACTCCTTTCAAAAATTAAACAACACAAAGCTTTATATTATGCTTATTATTTCCACTTTTTCTTCAAAATTTTATCAGTGATGTATTTGCCACTGAAATGTGTTTACCTCATTGAGAGGAAAACTGAACAAGAAAAAACAAATATTTCTTCAAGCTGATGAGCCAATCAAATCTTGTACTATACTTGAGCCCATCATTGCTGAAGTGTCTACAGCACCTATAGCCCCATTAGTAGGAACAAGTGCCTTCTTCTGCTATTTGCAGCAGTGCTGAAAGAATAGGGAATTCTAAGCCGCAGGCCACAGATGGACAAACTTCTTATTTGGATGTATTTCTTATTCATACTTGTTAAATACATTCAAAAGTGCTCTATCACGTCAATTAAAGAAATTATTAAACCTCTGTTATATCTTCCCGGAGATAAATATTATTTATAAAAAATACTTACATGGAAAATGACAATCGAAATTATGGATATCTAATAGAGAGGGTTGTTTTTAATCAGAGAGCTAACTAATAACTAATGGGATATTCTAAGTACTTTGAATTGTAGTCTTTGTATCCCTCACAATGCATTAATGAAGGGGATAAGAGATATAACAGTGAAAACGACTTCATAATAACAACAATTTAATATTGACCAAATTGTTGCTTCTGTGTATTATTTTCTTCAAGTATTGTGAAAACTCTTCTAGTTTTGCCAGGAAAAGAGTCTGAAATTTGTCCATGGAAAAGTGGCCACTGTATTTGTATGTAATTATATTCATGAATTATACTATACTTGACATTTAAAATTGACATTAACATTTTAAACTGACATTTAAAATTTCATGTCATTCTCATTTTACTAGCATTTATTTGCAGCTACTGAAGCATGAACTTAACTTTTTCATCACAACTTGTTGAATTCAACTTCGTCTAATTAGCAAAACCCCTTTATAAGAGACACTGGGATAAACAGAATTTTTTGTGTTATAATGAGGAAATTGTGTATATGCCATCATTATTGACACTTTGAATAATCTGTGGGGTTCTCGGATAATAGGGTTTTAGGGTACATAGTTGCTTCCAAAGTTCCTAATAGTTACATAAATCAACCAGAGAATTTTGTTTCAAAGTTTGCAACAACTTTGAGTAGTCTCCCCTGTTGTTCATTATTATTTTCCTTATTGTTTCCTCCTTGAAAAATTGAAAATTTAAGTTCTGGACTTTAGTTTTAGAAATGATGTCACCTGGTACACTTTTTATTGTTATTAATAATTTTGAAGTTTTATAAAACTAATTTATTGTCTATAATTATGTTAAAAAATAATTACAATATATTTATCTCTTTTCTTGGTATTTTTAGAAAATTAATTGATCAGAAGAAAGACAAGAGATTATCATTCCTCCTTACTCAAACTGATGAGTACATTGCTAAACTAACTGAAATGGTTAAACAACATAAAATTGAGCAATACAAAAAACAATATCAACAAAAAGAAAGGAAGGTGAGATCCATTTTAATTTCATTTTTAGTAACTATACATGTTATTTAAGTAATGTATTTTGATCACACTTTGCCTTTTGCATAGAAGAATAAGAAGAAATTGAAAAAGAAGAAAAAGAAGAAGAAGAACAAGCGAGTAATGGAGAGTGAAATGATTGATGAGCTAAATGATGAGAGCTCCCAGATGTCAGATGTTCGAACTACTGTTATGGAGACTGCTACAGGTAGATGTCTTTGTCTTGTTTTGATTTGAATGTAATTTAATAAGATTGTTTTATGAAAGCTGTCAATGGTGCAAGTCCCCCAAGTATTTTTTACTTTCTTGTCTTACCTTCGTAGGAAGAGGAAGTATTGAAATAATTTTTACTGAAAAACTCTTATTGGCTAGGGCCTGGTAATGAAAAAGTGAATAAATACATGTAGTAAATTAATTCCTCTAATGCGTTGTGTAATCAGAAACTATGTTCTGTGTGTCCTTGATACCAAAAATTCGATTGATGGATAAATGTCTGTCATTGGTCAATGCTGGCACCTAAACCCTTCTGATGATTTTCTCCAAAATTGATATTTTGTAAATGATTTAAAGAAATTTAATGCTATGAGAGTTTTGAGACATTTTAATTTTTGGAAGTACTTTACGTGGAATTACATTACAATTACATTTTCAAAGACTGCTCCAAATTTTTGGATTAAACGTCCTCAGATAACCTAAAAGATATTTAAAGAATGGCACTGATCTCGTTTTCATTAAAATCCATAAATTTTCAAAAATTCATGTATTTTTCCATGAAATGTAGGCAATTTTTAAACAATTATTTTCTCAAAAATAACGTAACATTTTCTTCTGATATGTATCAAAGGACACAGGAAAGAAAGTGGTAGTTGTTCTGTTTCCGACAAACTCTGTAATTTCGAAGATTGCAAAAAGTAAACATCGGAAAAGTGCAATATTGCAGATAGAGTTTCCAACTCAGGTTCCATCGAATATACGTTTTCAAATTTCTTTGGTGAATAATCTACTACAATAACTCCCTTGGTTCCCTTCCCCCTTTTGGAGAAGTTTCTTAATTCTTTTGGATGGATCTGAAAACAAATCATTTGTTCCCCAATAGGAGACCAACATGTCAAATGACACCTCATGACTTTGTCTCAAATGACATGACTTTGTCTCAATTGGTGGACGGGAAATGGTCTAACAATGAGTGATGGACACATGCACGCAGGTTACTTGAATACTATTTAAAGACATGCGTGATACAGTCAAATTCCACATTTTGGTGTTCTCTGGTCCCAAAATAGTGTCTCGTACTGTATGTTGTTTCATTAGCCTGTACATTCTTGTACATTCTTTTATACATATAGAATTAATTACTTGCCCTGTAAATTTGAAGAATATCTTATAATATACTTGTCCTTTTTGAATTTTCTTTAAAAACGGCCCCAATTTTTTTTCTCAAATAGAGCAAAGTAAGCTTATAAAAAGTCCAATAAAACCTCTAAAATTCCAAAATTTGCAAAAATGTTCAATCCCTTTCTACAACTGCATTTATTAAGTAATAAACTTCAAAATAGTGAAATTATTATTTGTTTTTCAACTTTTTTTTAAGGAAAAATTTTATCAGGAGAAGATGCTCCAATGGCTAGTCAGTTACAGTCATGGTTAGAAGTTCATCCTGGATGGGAACCTACAATGCATGAAGATGAGGAGGAAGATGATGAAGATGATGATGATGAAGATTATTCTGAGGATTACAGTGATGATTATGAAGATGAAATGCCCGTGCCTGGTAGTTATCATTCTTTTATCAATTTTTTTCATTGTAATTAGTTAAAATGTATACATGATGACCTTTTTTCACACTTCCTGAAGATCAAATGACCTTTTTCTCTTCTGAAGGACAGGTTTGAGTTTGTTAGTGATCAGGTTTTATTTTCAAATGAGATCCAGCAAGGAAAAACTCTGAATTTGGTTTTGGTATGCAGACAGAAGTATTTCTCAATGCCACATTTTATCAAAGAAATTATTTTATCCATACTAGAAGATATTGTCAATATGAATGCTCATAGATGAATGTCAAAAAAACAGTTTTTCATGTTTCATCTGAAGCAGCTGCATTATAAATTAAGAATAGTTGCAAATCACTGATTCAAGCAACATTCATCTCATCACACATCAATGTAATTTAAAAAATGTTGTTCTATGAGCTCATTTTCATTGAATTTCTTAGCCACGTCTTGTTTTTTTTCCTGGAAAGTAATGATTTCGTATCTATTCTTTAGTTAGTACAGTAAAACTTGCTCAATGCAGAATATCTATAATGTCGAAATGTGTCTATTGTTACCCAAATTGCAGTTCTGTCAATCACAAATTCCACAGTATTACTTTGTATGAAGCGGAATCTTGTCCAATATGGAAAAAAATTCTGGTCCCTTGAGGTTGTGCTTTGAGCAAGTTTTACTGTATTTGCATTGACCAAATATTGAGACCTTTCAATTGTTTGGAATACATATGTCAACAACATTGGAAGAAATGAATAACCAATTGTAATATGAGTACAATCTTAACTTTTTTGAACTGCTTGTGCATTATGAAGGAGCCTGGAACTCAAAATCGTGTGGTGTGATATTATTAAATATTTCATTCTCATTCTCACATTATTTTGTATTCCATCTTAGAAGTTCCTCTCATTGATGAAAAACTGTCGGATGAAGAAAAAGCCAAAGCAATCATTGAACAGGCGAAAGCTGAAGATGATGAATACAAGAATTATTCTGAGGAACAGACCTACTATAGGTAATCTTGCAATTTTATAATGAACAAATTTTATAAAATTATAAATGTAAATCAAATGAAATTAAATAGTGTATATTTCATTTTGCAGTATTGCGCACACAATAACTGAGAAAGTTACTGAACAGGCCACAATCATGGTAAACGGAAAACTGAAAGAATACCAAATACGGGTAAGACATCAAACAACTTGTGATAGTATGTAATAAAAACTCAGAAGACAGAAGTATTGAATATAATTTATGTATTTCAGGGTCTTGAATGGCTGGTTTCCCTTCACAATAACAATCTAAATGGAATATTGGCAGATGAAATGGGTTTGGGGAAAACTATCCAGACCATTGCACTGATAACATACTTGATGGATAGAAAGAAGGTTAATGGTCCATACTTGATAATTGTGCCTTTGTCGTAAGTACTTGGAATTTTATTTTTGGCACTTTCAAACTTAAAAGTTCTTTACTGATGAAGAGATGCAATGTGACATTAACAAGAGTATTGTATGTCTAAAAATTAAGTATGTAAATTTTGTCATTCATATGTTGTTTTCTTCATTCAGAACATTATCCAACTGGGTTTTGGAATTTGAAAAATGGGCTCCATCTGTAGTCGTGGTTGCATACAAGGGCTCACCAGCAATGAGGCGTCAAATTCAAAGTCAAATGCGTGCAACTAAGTTCAATGTCCTGTTGACCACATACGAATACATAATAAAAGATAAAGGAGTTCTTGCTAAGGTGAGTATAGATTGCTATTGAAACGTTATTTCACCTTTAAATGATTGAAATATTATATATGTTTTATCTTTGGAACAGTTGCGTTGGAAATACATGATAATTGATGAAGGGCATCGAATGAAGAATCACCACTGCAAATTGACTCAAGTTTTGAATACTCACTATGTGGCTCCACATCGTCTCTTATTGACTGGAACTCCTTTACAAAATAAGCTTCCAGAATTGTGGGCTTTACTTAATTTCCTCTTGCCCTCAATTTTCAAATCTGTTAGCACATTTGAGCAGTGGTTCAATGCTCCTTTTGCCACAACAGGAGAAAAGGTTAGTCAAATTTACATGTCTATTTATTAGTTATGTTGGTATACTTTCGTATAAATCAATGTGTTTGCTAGAAAAACTGAAAAAATTCAAAGTTGCATCTCAGAATCTTTCAACTTAAGGGAAAATTCTTTATCACTTTTTATTTGTTTGTATTATTGAAAAAAAGAAACCAAGGAAAGGACCTGTGCCATGTATACCAACTTTTTAAAGAAAAAGAAAAAATAACCAAATGTCAAACAATACTTGTCAAAACAAGTGTTGGTTACTACTGTATGTTGAAACTAAGTAAAATCCATTCCATCCAATGGCTTTTAATCAGTTCTAGTGTTGAAATTCAGGTTTTTTGCGTGTTGGGTTCTGCATATGAAAGATAATAAATAGTGCTCGGATGTTTGGCAAAAGGATTTTTAAAATTTTTATCAATAGGAATTACGAACTATACATCTGGAGTAGTTATAGTGTTTTTAAAGTCTATTTCAACTTCTGATGCCTATTTTTAGTATTTTGCCTTATTTTGACCTTTTTCTTCCTGATCCACCAGTATTTCCTTTTTTCTCCAGGCATCGATCTTGATCAAACTGAAAACATACGTGCAAGGCAGGGCAATATGAAGGCTTTTGTCTTTTCTGCAAATGTTGGCATATCAGACAAGAAATGTTGAACCTAGACTCCAGGGCTAGGAAATGTTAAAAATTGTTAAGTCAGATGTTACCAATAAAAATTTTTGGATTTCTTTGTTAATACTGTCACTGTTTACTCATGAGGAATTTTATACTACATTTGAGTGTAGCCTTTGATTCGTTTCACGGCAAGAGCTCTCATTGTACATTCCTTCACAGCCTCTTTTAGTGTTGGCAATTGAATCATCATTTGAGAAACCCGTCAAACGTCAAATCTCTCTCTTTGAAAAAACTGAGAATAAGTCTCCACAATTTTTCAGATTTCAAATATTTTTTTTTTTATAAAAGGAGTAGATAAATAAATATTTTTCATATAAATATGCACTATACGATGTGTCTATCCTCGTGGAACAATAAAACTGTCTCTTAAGCAGGTTTTATATTTCGCATTTGACGGGTTTCTGAAATAAACAATTCAATTCAAAGTTCATAAGTTCTAAGAATGAAAACAGTACTATTTTCACTGACAACATTCCTGAATTCTGATCATTAAATTCAAGCTTAATATTTAAATAAAAGGATTTATATTTTTACTTTCTCGCACTTACTTTGTAAGAAGAAAAAGTATTGTAATTTTGCGCTGGAAATGGACAAATGTTTCGGCAGATGGTCTCTTATTGCCCAGGCCCTGGTAATGTGATGAGCCACCATTAAAATGGCAATATTCTGTATTATTATAAACTATTTTATTGCTGTGTGGCTCCTAACAAACTCCCAATAAGCAACTACAGGACTCCATAACACTTCCTGCAGCTTCCTGGGAATATGTTGTAACATATCAGCTTCCGGATCATATCAGCATCCTCTCTCTCTCTCTCTCTCTCTCTC